AGTGGCAGCATCTCCTCCCCCTGCAAAGCTACAGCAGAACTGAAAAGTGCATGCATTTCCAGAGCACAAGCCAATCAGATAAATAGAATAAGGGAGAAGGATTTTGAGACTTTAATTACTCACACTGATAATTGATCCAACAAACATGATACTGGATATATATAAATTAATAAAATATCATCCTTGTCTTTGAGAACAAGGACTGCACCTTGAGAAAAATGGATATTTATGACCAATAAGATAAATGCCTCATTAAATATATAAAAATACATGGAGCACCAAGGAATAACCTGTCAATTTTATCCAGAATAAGAGATGCCAAGGTTAATCAACCTGAATTTTAAAAGATGAAAAGATGTTTAAATGTCAATTTAAAAGATAAGTAAACAGAAGTATAGTGAGGAAAGCAACAATGACTGCATAAAAATGCAGGGATGAGTCCAGAGGGCAAAACAGTTGGGCAACACACAATGGGCCAAACATGGAGGGCTTATATGACATATCAATAAGATTGGGCTTTACCCTGGACATTATAAGGAACCCCTATCTAATTTTAATCAAATCCAAGTAGTTTTTAGTTTGATCATTCTGGTAAAAGTAATGTTTGTACAGAAGAATTTTAAGAATGAGTGGTCAGCAGTGTCAAATGCCAGGAAGAGGTCTCATAATTTGAGGGATAGAAAAAAAAAATCATTTAATTAAGTAGTTTATTCAATAATTCAGTAATTCATTCTATAGGAGGTGACATTGGTCAGATAGATACTCTTCAGTGGTTTGGAATCCTGACTACAAAACATTAAAGAAAATGAATGGAGGTAATGCTGAGAGAAAAAGACTAAAAGTAAGTATAATAGCCCCAGAGAAACATATTTGTAAGAGAAAGACTAAAGGCACATCTTACCCTAAAGTAAGTCTAATTTAAAAAGTATAATTGAGAAGAAAAATTGTTCTCATCAACATATAAATAATTCACCATTATTTACTAGTAATACAATGTTATTCAATTTTCTTACAAAATAATCGAATGAAATACTATGAAAAGCAAGGCCTGTCATTGTTCCTTAAAAACAGTCTTGTGATTTTTAAAATCCTTTTAGGAAGAATTAAATTAAAATTCCCTGCCTATTCCTTAGATCCTGAGTGGACTGAACATTTACCCCCCCAAAAAACTAAATTAATCTGGTATTGGCTAAGATACTTTGACAGGCTAAGTTTAAGTTTGCTACCCTTAACAAAAATAAGGGTTCTTAATCTATCAGACAAATCGTTATATTTCCCCTCATCTAAACCTTCAATATAGTTTATAGTGTCACATGGGGAAAAGCAAAAGATGGAGAAATCTTTTTTTCTTAATCCTATACTGTGAATAAGCCATTTTCCCAGTTTTTTGTTTGTTTGTTTGTTTGTTTTAGCTCAGACCCTAAAGAAAGAAACTCCCAGCTATGGCCAGTGATCCTTTCCAGTCCTTCCTATTCTGTACAGCTGGAATCGTGGTTGGTGCTGGCTTCAAAGAACTCTCCCATGTGTGCAAGACATATGTCAGTCTAATGTCCCTGGCTTTACCATTTCATACAAAATTCATAAGCAAGTACAACTCCATCAATGCAAACTTTATGTAAACAACATTCCATTTACCAGATTTCTCTCCTTTATTAATATTTTTACATTTGCACTCTAAATACATGTGTATGGGGGCATATGCATAACATAATCAAGCACACCACTTATCATAACCAGGACCTACTTAACAGACAACTGAGGCAGCCCGAGAGTTTTAATTCACCCTGTTTTCTGTTATATCTAGAAACTGTTTACTGTGAGTTAGAGGGTGTCATTAAATTATTTCCTAACTGCCCAAAATTGTGACTGAAGGGCTCTGTCCAGGAGAAGGGCCTCAGAGAATCAGACAAAACTGTATTGGAATCTAAACTTCTCTCTTTCCCCTCAGCCACTTCTGAGTTTCCATTTCCTCAATAAGAAACCTGCCTTTCAGACATGAGAGCACTTGAAAAACACTGACAGACCCTGGACATAGCAGGCCACTAATAAAGGGCAGCTATCTTCTCTATCACATGTTTACTGTGCCTCAAGGCTTCTTATCTCTGAAATGAGGAATCATGAACCAACGACAATGAGGAATCATGAACCAATGACAATGAGGCATAAGCGTTTTCAAATACAATTGTCATGAAGTTGACTTATTATCCAAACATTTTAGATACTACTCAGCAGAATTATGTAACACTTTATTTTAAATGTTTAGCTCAGTTTTGAATCTCAAAATGAATTATAGGTCTACACTTTTTCATAAGGGTTTAAACTGAATTTCAAGGAAACTGAAATAGGTAAGAGGGATATGAGATTGTACAGAATGTGTTCTGTAGTTCATGAAGACTAACCGGTGTTGAGAAGTCTGACCAGTTCTACTTACTGCATCATCCAGCAAGTTTCCTGTGCTCTTTTTTCCAGAAGACTTTGATGAAGGAGAAGGTGAAGGAGAAGGGGCAGAAAGTGTTTCTTCTTGTTCAATCTCTTTTTCCAATTTTATCAAACCAGGAGGCTCCACACCATACCTTTTAAAAGATACCAGGTCACTAGACATGCATAACTTATAATGATACAATTGCCATATATTATATTTGATTATGAACACCATAGATGTAAATGACTTGCTTTCTTGAATTAGCATTGTTTTAAGCTGGTGGACACATTTACCTGCTGTGTATGTATATGTGCGCACATATGAACACACATATTGCAACATACCAATATAAATAAAAATACTCAGTGTAATAAGTTAATAAGTCAATAGCATGAATAACTATGTAAAATTTAGTCTTTGGCTTTCACATTTACCAGCTCTAATGATATTAGTGCTGTAATTAAACTCCTATTTTGAACATACGCTTGTTAAATATGGAGATAAAATCGGAGAATCAGAGTCAAGTTTGAAAACAGCAAAACCACCCTGCACCCCCTCTATCTTTAAATGATTTAACAAAAAAGAAATTCACTGTTAATTCAGAATTCAAATAGTAAGGAGGGGTGCTACACTATGTATCAAGTACCTTTTGAGAGCTGGAAAACTTATATTAGAATTCAGTACAAGACTGTTTGAGCTGGCATAATCCAACTGAACAATTACTGCTCTGAGAATGGCCTTTAGTTACACATAAATCATAAGCCAAAGACCTAAGCATCACTTATCATATTTCTAACCTTTTATACATATTAACCAGTTAATGGAACATAAGTAGAAACATGTGCTAGGCTGCAAATTCTGTAAGAGTAGAGACCACTGTCTGTCTGATTCCCAGCATTCCCAGCATCTGACATAGATCCTGGCACACAGTAGGTACTTAGTGGCTACCATTTGAATGTTAAAAAAAAAGTCTTTATTCTCATATAACAATGATATCACTTTCTAAGTATGAATTTAGTTTCATGATTTTGGATCCCTAAATACAAATATCACTTTAAAAAACATGTTAATGTTAAATGTATGAAAATGCTCAATCAAAAAAAAAATGTTCTTCTTCTAGACTTTAAGCCCTGTCCAAAACTAAAATACATTTTTGATTTTGTAGCAACCAATTGAGCTGAACTCCACACAGCATCTCATTACCGTTGACAAGTAGCAACACAACAATATTCACATGGACATTCACTTATTACTCTTCTCTGAGGTAGACTTGAACTAAGTGTCCCATTAGTCTCCTTTTTAAATTTATCACATCACTTAACTTTTACAAGTCTGTTTTCTATCAGAAAAGTAGAGGTGAAAATGGCCTGTCCTTGAAATCTATTATAGCAGTGGAGGGAGGGAGAAGGAAGAAGATTAGAAAAGCAAGTGATCCTGACCTCCTTCACGGTGTCTGGCACCACTGACACGATGACATACATTATTTCTGAGCCTCTGTTTTATTTCATTGTAAAATGAAAATTCTAATTCCTATTTTTTAATATTGTTAGAAGAAACTAAAATAGTATACCTTACATGCCCCACACAGTGTATGACATAAAACACAAACTTTGAGATTGCTGTTGATAACTTTATTAATGTATGAAGGATCACACAACCAGGAAACTGCATTGCTGAGGTTCTGTTGCCAAAGCTTTCATTTTGTAAAACATATTGTACCAAAAAATGGGACATTAATCTCAAAATAAAGGTGTTATTAATATTCAATGTGGTATTATTACTATTGCTATACCTTTTACAGAAGAATTCCCTATAGGCTTTCTTTGAAGAAATTTTCCTGGAATTGCGGAATATCAGAAATATCTCAGTACTGGAGTTCAGCAGACCAAGTTATAAATTCAGCTTTGCACTAACTCATCAGATGAACTTCAGCAGGGAACCCTTTTTAATCTCTCTAGACTTCTCTGGATTTTTCTAACCTCTCTAGACTTCTCTGGATTTTTAAAGTATAAAATGTGGTTATGTTTAATGTTCTTAAAAGAATACTATAAACTTGGTAGTGAGACTAGAGGAACTTAATACACTAGAAGGCACAGGCAATTAAAAGTCTGTCATAAATGAAAACATCATATTTGAAAGTAAAAAATAGTTCCATTGGAAAATATGATTTCATTTATAATTGTAAGTGGATTTGTGCCCCCTTTTCAGGAAAAGGTTGCATAATTTTTTTTTTCTTTACAAAGTGAAATAATAATAAATATGTTTTTAAAGTAACTATAGGCTCAACTCCATGTCCAATACAAACAAAGTAGACTAGGTTTGAATCAAATTTGGTAACAATGGCACACATGAAAAACCTTGCCCTGGAGGTTTTTCTTTATCTGTGAATGCTGAAAATTAGCTATGCCATTGAACACAGAAAACCAACACTAAGCCCCAAATCTCTGCTTATATTGGCTTTTGACTACTTCAAGCTGCCTAACGTACAGTCAGCCATTCCTGAAATGCACACTTAAATACGATTCATTGGCTTCCTGTCTGTCCGGAGATGTCAACAGGCTATAAATCACAAAATTGCTCTTGGGTTGGGGGCCTGTACCTGCAAGCCAACTTAGTCATCAAATAGGTTTTCCTGTTCTCCAAAAGGCTGGTTCATTCTGGCTTCCATGATTAACTCTACACCACCTCATGTTTCTATTTTTGTCTATGAGGTTTTCACAAATTTATACTGTTTTCCACTTCTTTCCAACTAACAGGTTTTAGATCTTTAAGAGGAGATAGCTGTTGTTCTCAAACTGAATAAAGGTCAAACTAAAGATACCAAGAAAGTTGAATCCACTGAAACCAAATCCTTGTACCTGTTATCCCATGATATGAAAGTAGGACAAATATTCAAAGGACAACACATTTATTTTTGTTTCATTAAAAACATTTTTAAAAAGCGAAGTACTAGGGGAAGGGTCTTATGATTAATAACTTTATAATGAGATTCTAGAAATGGATTTCCAATTTTTCTGGTACTTGACACAACTTTTGAGATTGATCTAGATGAAATAACTGAGTCCCCAAACTGAGCCCTGAACTAGAAAAATACCAAACTTATATAGTAGACTAGTTTTCAAACAAAAGGCATCTGGAACCTATTTTATCAGGGTTAGAGGGACAAATCTGATAGCTGAATGAAAGAAACTTGCCTTTTTAAGGCATGTAATAGATAGTATAAATCTTAACCAAGATTTTAATTTGTTTTACATCCTAAGACAAGGGACAATTTGTGCCACCCTCAGATTTGGACGACACGTGATTCCTAAAGGCATTTTGTCATTGGGTAACTTGCCTTCACCTCTGATGACTCAGCCATAGTTAAAATATTTATTTCAGCAGGATTCCTAACTTTGTGCCACCCTCAGATTTGGACGACATGTGATTCCTAAAGGCATTTTGTCATTGGGTAGCTTGCCTTCACCTCTGATGACTCAGCCATAGTTAAAATATTTATTTCAGCAGGATTCCTAACCAGAATGTTCATGTAATAAAAAGTATAATTACAAAAAGTAAAATAAAATCCAGAAAACAGAAGCATATGTAAACAAAGTGGGAGGCAAATGACAAATCCCAGCTAACTCTGGAGATCATGCAACTCTTTCTGTTTACCTCTATACCACAACTTTCAGAAGCAAGATGCTTATTTGATGCATACATGAGTATTTAGATTATTTAAGCAAAAAAAACCAAAATCTCTCATTTGGGGATATTCTAATGGTATAATTAAAACAAACATTTATTGCCTATTCTTTTGCTAAGTAGGAACTCTAGACTGTCCATGTTTCTTCTACCTGAGCATTTTAGTGGCAGTGGCTCATTTATTAAGATTTTACTTTGTTTTCCTCCTCCCTGTATTTTTAACTTCCCTTTTCTTAGGAGATAGCTGTTGTGTCCTTGGTATTCCTTTGTCTCAAGTCTGTTTGTCCTATAGGCCAGAAGCCCCAAGACTGGTGGTGTAAGGGACCTTAGCCAGAAAATGGCCATCTTTGGGGTAACTAGAACCAAGCAGAAAATTTCAGTTAGCCATTAACTTGGGAACTGATGGTCATCAATTCTTGAGATTAGCAGAGGAAAAGAGAAACTGACCATATGGCTGGAACTACCCAGAGATGAAATTATGTCCCAAAAGGATCCTTCTCAAAGGTTTATTTCTGTTTATGTCCCATTACACCCTCTTATGTTGATGTGCTTTAGGTGTTGCACACCTAGAGCAAAGGACTGAATCTAAGTTTCCTTGTTTTTCTTACCTCCCTAATCAACTGAAAACAGGAAATCCAAGAGAAAGGCAAGGCACCTAGCTGATGATTAACTCATCTTCTTGCTTAAAGGAAAATTGCATCCACATTAAGTAGGAATGAGTCAGGTACTTTTACGTTCTGGTGATGCTTGACTGAGGTTATCGTCTTTGAGCTCTCCCTGGGAGATAAGGACTCCAATCCTAAAATAACATCAAGGACTTAAAGCTGACAAGTCTATCAACTGCAGATTCCATGACGCCAAAGCACCCAGGCCATCATGGGACCCTGACATCTGACTAAGACAGACCCTCTGCTAATCCCTTGACCAACCTCCCCCTCTTCCTGCAGGACAAAACCCTTACCTCACCGTCCCACCTCTTCCCCTTTATACATCCCAGAACAGGCATCAGAGGGGAAATGATTTTAGTCTGGTCATCCCTCAGATGCTGGTTATTTGAATAAACCTTCTAATCCTTGCACCAATTTTTGGACTTTTGAATCATTTGTTTAGTGCATGAGGGCAAGCCGAGCCTGGCTGTCGGTAGCAGTGGGGGAGTGGGCATGGCAGGGTACTAGAAGGAACAGGTACCTCTGTCCTGTTCCCTGACAGAAGCCAAGGGTGTTGCAGCACTGGCGGGGAACATAGTCCTAGGAAACACCCAGATCCCACGAGCTTGAACTGTGCCTCAGCAGTAGACGCCTGAGTGGACCAGACTAGGTGTTTTCCCCCAGAAGACTGCACAATTATCTGGGAATGATGTGGGGGAAAAAAGGGAAACCTCCAAATGTCTCTGTCTAGCTAGGCTAAGGCCTGGAATCCTGCTTACTGCACCAATTGTAGCACTCTTAATCCTGTTTGTGACACCAATTGTCTAGCTCCACAACCACACTAGTCGTCAGGCTCTTTTACCTGCTGGTAATCCTGTACCAACTGGGATGATTGCCGAGCTAAGGCTGGGTCAGGAGCTCTCACACCCTTCGATCCCATTGTCCAGACTGGGTCACAAACCCTTCATATGCCAGGTGTGTCACCAGACCCCTTCACACAGGTCTATGAGCTAGGTTACTGGCCAAAAGATCCTTGGAGACATAGGTTGGAAAGCATGGCTGCATGGGGCAGACACCCGAGGCAGTAAACACCAGCCAAAGTGGCGGCACCATGCAGGCACACTAACTCCACCCCCCCCACACGCAATGTTTACTGAACCACCCCCAACTGGCCCTGAGGCGAGGGAAGCCTGATTAAATTATTCTATTTTCCCAACCGTTTCAAATTGATTTTTTCACTCCATGGTAAGTGAAACTCAGTAATAGTTAATTTAAACTAAAAATCCATTCAATCTTTCTCATACCCAATTATTGTGGTAAAATAAAATCAAGACCTGATGCACAATTCATTAAGATTATATTAACTACCATGGTTTGAAGAACTTGGGGGTTACTTTATCTGATTACAGGTTAATTTTCTATTGGATCAAAAAAAGTCCTGTTCATTGGCAGCAAGTTTTTTAGCCATGTTGAAATTTGCTGATGTGCTCACCATGTATGTTCTTTTTCTTGATTTTCTTTATAAATTCTCTATTTGAGGTGTACACCCAGTGCTAGCTTTCTCTTTATCTTACTGGTTCATCTGATCTCAACTCTAAAAGGATACCCAGATTTGGATCAGAAAACATCTTCTAATTAATTCTAAATTTTTATTTTGCATCAAGATCTCCTTAAACATTTATACCTGTATTTCTCTTTCTTTGGGCTTCATAAAACTATAAGAAGCCCTGTCTGATGGTTTGCAAGACAATAAATGAAAATACATGATACCACAACAAATTGGTTTAGCTGATAAAGTACCTTCCTCTGTTAATTTGGCTGCAATTTCTACAATTACTTCTTGTTTTTCCTTCTCCCAGAAGAAAGATTCCAAAGATGTCTCTACATAAGGGTAGCATTCTGTTTTTTTTTTTTCTCTAGTAAAAATAAACAGAATAATTTAAAAACTATGCCCCTACTCAGAAGTAGCAACTAAAAGAACTGAGGAATCAGGTATTGAATGGGGGAAAATAAGGAAAAGAAACAAAAAGTGAGGCTGAAATTATTAAAGAGAAGAAAGAAGCAAGAAGATGAAGGAGGAGGGAAAGAGAGAGAATGGGAATAGACTTTCTGCTAAGAACAGTGCTAAATGTCACATCAAAATTCATGTACCAGATCCTCCCCCACCCCCTGAGAAAGGTTTGAAGGGAAAATGTATTTGATTCAAGAATACTGGCAAATGGTTAGACATAATGGCTTTGACAACAAGATCATGATGTTAAGAATACTAGTGGCACACTTTTAGTTTGAACAATTGCTCTCAAGATTTTCATCATATAAATCGTATTTGAGTGAGTACCTTCTCAACATCCAGGTTAAACATCTGTCATAAAGAGCCAGTGAGCTTCTCTGCTGCTCAGATGCTCTATGCCTTGACATAGTAGCAGAAGTTGGACTTACCTGGCTGCAATCCGGCCAAGCTCTAGCAAACAGAGACACACTTCTCTCGGTTGCTTGTGGAGTACTGAAAAGCAAGACAGAGGTGCATACCTTTACAACAGAAAGGATTGTAAAGCAACTCAACGGGGAATAGGCTTGCTGATAACCCCACATTCCTTATGGTCTCAGTAAATGAGATAGTTTTCATTCTCACATTCATAGAACCCACCCAGTTCCCCTGTATACCTAGCTCTACTACTAAAGGCCTAAAAGTAGTTTTGAAAACTACACCCAAACTTCCTCCCAAACACTATGAGTCTCAGAAACTCTCACCCTGAGTAAAATTCATTCTAAGAATATTTTCTTCAATTAGTTCATATTAGTAGGTCAATATTGGATGCATATGTAGTTGTAATTATGATATAAATAACCAATACATGTTTAAAAACATACAGCACATACAAGACCATGAAGAAAGGACTGGCCTTTTTAATATCCTGGATTTACATTTACCAGTGATTTTAACAGAAATAATGCAATAAATAAGGATAAAAATTATACAACATAGTCCTTTGTCATCCTCCAAAGATGAATGTCAAGTGAGACCCTGAAACTTCATGTCCTCTCCTAATCAAGTCTGATTCAATAATGCTTTAGAAAAAAACACTTTCAATTGACTAGGTTTTAAAAATGCGGACCATTATACCACCAGCCAGTTTTGTACATCAAATGAACAAAGTAGGAGACTCTTCTTTGAATTAATATATCTATTCTAATATAACATGATTGTATAATAAATCTGCTTTATTGATAACTTTGGACATATTCAATAATGTTAACAAATCATACATTTGTTGAGCCCACCAGAGGAGCATGTACTGCTTATAATACTCTCTTTTTCAATTAAGAACAGGGGATTTAAAAATATTGTTATATTCAGCACCAAATAAAGACAACCAATATTGGAAAAATTTGCATTAAGAATTGTCATACACAGATACAATTAATATCCTAATAAAATNTATTGGAAAAATTTGCATTAAGAATTGTCATACACAGATACAATTAATATCCTAATAAAATACTAGCTTTTGATTGCTTATTGATAAACTTTTAAAAAATAGCAATATTGCTTTAAATCTTAAACATAAAATTTTGTAATAATTCAGTTTCCAGTGTTATTCTTCAGTTAAATATTCTATTCCTTCTCTCCACAGATTGTGGTAGCAGCAATATTTGGCCCACCTACACTATAATGGAATTTGTTGAGTGTGTGTGTAAATAGAAAAAATACTTTTACTTGGATTGTAAAAGTATATGATTTAATTTGGCTTTAAACAGACATACAAATTTATTATTATTTGGTTATAAAAAATGTCACTTTTAAGGCCTTTTAAATAAATTCTCATCTCACCAACAGTGCTCATTAAAACAGAACTGATTATGGAAAATCTGAATTACAGAGCATTTCCATTCTTGATAACATAAATTTTAGTTTCAGCTGACTGTTAGTGAACTGTCACAAAACCGTAGTTAGGGTTAGAATTACTTCTAATTAAAGGGGCTTAAAATAAAAATATTCCAAATGCCCCACACATTGACTGTGGATAGCATAACACCATAACACCAACCACGCAAGCTTCGATACACTAAATCAACTTCAGTGCAAGGTTAACACAGGGACTGTAATGTGACACGGGCATCGATTTCAAATAGAGAACAATAACAAACATCACAAAATAAACAAATGAAAATCAATGTTCCTGTCTAGATTGTCAATTTCTTCTGAATCAGACTTTTTCCCCCCATGTCCACGGTATAAAATAACATATTGGAGTGATGAGTAGGAGAAAGGACTACATGAAAACTGAGAAGACGACTAGCTTTAAGGCCCTGCTAAAGCCCTTATCTTAAGTGAAAGCGGAGTGAGCAAGTGGCTAAATCTCTGGGAGCTTTAGATACAATTTCATGCATTTCTTGAACAGTGTCAAAATGTGAAAATTATTTGTGAACTGACCAAACTGTGTCACATGCAGTCAATAACCAAATAAAGAAAAGTAATACCGGACCGAACTATAATGGTTCTTTAACCAACTTATCATACACATTTGAAAAACTATATAAACATTCGTATGTAAATGGGCATATTTTATGTAAGATCAAATTCATTCTGAAGAAAAACAATAATGTGGGTAACATAAGAAATGCAGTTTAACATGTATCACTACTGAGTATTTCTTTGCTTCCGCATTTGCCAATTTAAAACGGCACAGCTTTTGAATGCCAAAACTCAAATGTTGAATATACTATGAACTCATTAGAAAATCAAGATAAATAAACCTCTTTCCCAGCATCATTTCTTAGGAAAATGTGAACAAAAAGATAATGTTTTACTTTCAAGTTTTCTTGGAAATACTTTCTTTAAAAATTCAATAAAATTGCTTCAAAACACACCTATAGTATTGCCTCATGTGTTAATGGCTTTTCAAATATTGGCCATACAGTGCCTGGCCCAAAAAGTAATCAATGTTGG